TAATATAACAGAAATCGAAGTTGATTAAGTTTTAATTTTAAACAATTTTTATTTTATTAGAATTTCAATTTTTTAGATTTTTAATTTGATTGAATTTGGGTAGGAAAAATATTTTTAAAATTCCTTTTTAGAAAAATTTTCATTCTTCAGTCTTCATCTTTCATCTTCCCGTATAGAATTTTGATTTAACTGTTTGTCTTTATTGCAAAAATATTTACTTGGTTGAATTTTAATTTTTCAAAAATTTAATTTCTGTGTTTTCCATTGTTGTTTCTACTAAATTAATATTCGATCTAATTAAATTTCTGACAAATTAAAGTTCTATTAAATAATAATTCTGACAAATTCATTTCAAAGCTTACTCCTACATCGATTTCTTAACCCTGAAAAATAGTACTTAAAAATATTTATTTTGAAAAATTTATAATTTTTTAGGCAATCTTCATCTAGGATATTTTAACCAGAAAAATTTACCAACATCTAAAATGAATTTTGAAAAGAGCTTATCTATATGAAAACATTGACATGAAGTTGCTCATTCATTTGTTTAACATTTTTCTATAACCTACGAAATTAATATTATAAAATTTGACGATTAAAAAATAATTGTATACAATGCATTGTAGTGGCTCCAGAAAGAAAAATATTTTATTTTTCCATAATAAAATGTTTTAATAAAAATTCCGCTTTATCGTGAAAACGATTAAATTTGTTACACAACTTTTTAAGAGGGATAATATACTTCGAAAACTAAAATGTTAATTTTCCCCAACCCACTCTTATTAAATACAATATTTTGTCATATAACATTATAATTATTAATCAAGGAAAACAGATATTTCTATATTTATGAATTACTTACAGGCCTTTTATATGCTTTTATTCTTTAAAACAGGAAATTCCTAGCTGTCAAATCTTACGCGACTTTTCAATCTTCGTGTGCTCAACGTTTTTCATTTTTTTTACAACTAATACATTTAACTATAATTTAAACGTATTAACATGTATTTACAGGTATTTCGAGCTTAAATATTTTACATGGAGTTAAAAAATTTAATTTTATTAATAATTAACAATAAAATTTAAGGGGGGAACACCAGTTGTAACTTTCGAAAAATCGATTTTTTTTTGCATTTTCTTAAAGTATACATATTTAGAAATGTGTCTGTAAATTTTAAACTTGATCCGGTGAAAAATGAATGAGATATACAGAACACTGCAGCGGCGCGTCCCGTGGCTTCAGACAAGGTGGCCAGCCATACCTGACCCTAACGACAGATGGCCTTTTCCTATGATTTAGAAACGGCAACCACTGCGGAAGAGTTATTATATGGTCCAGGAATCGATGACTCTTTGTTAATTGGAAACAAAATTTCTTCTGAACAAAAAAAAGTAAGTTGAAACTTTGAATGCGTTTTTCTCAAAATGACATTTTCCAAGTCGGTGACCACGATTACTCGAATACCATTAAACCGATTTATTTAAAATTTAGTGTGCTTCATTTACACATATAAGTCTAGTTCGTGATCGAAGGATTTTTTTTTTTATGCAAAACTTTTTTTTATATAGCTGAAAATCGACCGTATTTTTTTAACGAAAATCATACTTTTGACTTTGACAGGTCGCCATTTTGTCAAATTTTTTTTTTTTTTAAATCCTTCGATCACGAACTAGATAATCTTATAATAAATGTAAATCAATTTCATTTTTGTATTTCAGACGAAGTATACTTGCAGAATGCTGGTCACCGCAATTCGCCTTTTTTCTTAAGGCGCCACTTCAATGGCTCATATCCCTAAAAGTTTTTGTTTAAAAAATTTTTTTTTTCTTTTAAATTACAGCTTTTAACATGTACTTTTAACTAATAAATAGTATTCTTTAAAAAGATTCATTGTTCTTTTGGAAAATATTCTTGTAAAAAGCATTATTTCTTGAGTTACAACTGGTGTTCCCCCCTTAATACCCGTATAATTATTAAGTTTATTTAAATTATTTCTATTAATTAAATTCTTATTTCATGTTATTATTAAATTAAGTTAAATTTAGTTTATTTAGATTCTTTCAAATTTTAATTTAATTTTATTTTAAAAAAATGTACATATAAGACCGCGTTTGAGAAAAGGGTGCTATCGACCAAAATCCACTTTTCGAGAAAAACGCGTTTAAAGTTTTACTACTAATTAAAATAGATTTCTTGAAACATTTTATCTTTCAAAGGACCTGGATAGTTCCTAGACCTAGTTCCTTATGTATTTTTTAATGCTGAACACAATTTTTATGGTTAAATAATTTTTTAAACATCACTGTTATTGTTATAAACAATTTGTTTTGCAAAAGTCAAAATGTGAAATTTAAAAACTTAATTTAAACGACTTGCTGATGTCCTAGATGTCTGGAATTTTTTATGCACCTTCAGAACTGACAACCGCACAGTTGCCAAACAACCATCTATAGTTATTTTTTACCTACAGAACCAGGTTGCCGATGATGTGTATACTTAAAGATCATCTTCGAGAATTTAGCTCGAATTTTTTGTTAATGGTTTTGGCATTGGTATTTGAGGTTTAAGAAAATATCCTCAACACTTGGAGAACCAGGTCGCCGATGACGGGTATACCTGAATATCATCTTCTAGGATTTGGGTCGAATTATTATTTTGACATTCATTTTGAAGGTTTTGAAAATTTTTTTTTTCACTTGGACAACCAGGTCGCCGATGACGGATATACCTGGGGGTCATCTTCCAGGATTTAAGACGATTTTTTCAGAAATGATTTTGACATTTATATTTCAGATTTTGAAAAATATTTTTTACACTCGGATAACCAGGTTATATCAAAAACTTGAGAACGAAAACTATTTTGTTTGTTTTGAATTTTTTTTTTGAATTTTTTTTTTTGAAATTTTGAAAAATTTATAAGTTTTTAATTTTTTATTTTAAGCAAACACACCAAAAGTGATTTTTGTCTTAGAATTACTTATATTTTCATTAAAAAATTTTCTCGAAAAAAAATTATTTTTTTTTAAATTTGTTTAAACAAATGAAAAAAAATTTTTTTAACATTTGGGACTTGTTGCATTGTATTTTTAAGACCTTAAACTATAAGAATCCGTCATAAAAAAAATCGATTTTTTGGTTGATAACACCCTTTTCTCAGACACGATCACTTATGTAAAGTTATTTTTATTTTTAAAAATATTTTTACATTAAATTAAAAATTGAATTTCAATTAATATTATTATTTAGCAGGAATTTAATGTGATCGAAATTTAATTTGAACGAATTCTAATTCAGCAGAAATTCAATTTAATCAAATTTTAATTTTACAGAACTTTTATTTAATACAATTTGAATTTAACAGAAATTCAATTTTAAGGCATTTTAATATAAAATATAAAATATAAAATAGTCATATAAAATTTGTTTTCAGGATTAAAAAATACTTGTACAGTTTACAAAAAATTCTCTCAAAATCAATGGCGAGATTAATTTTAAAGATTGATTCTATTAAAAATAATCACAAAACTCACATTAGAACAGAAAGATTAATAATATATAGCAAAATAATTGTTTTGAATTTGAAAAAACGCAAAATTTTGAAGAACCTATGTTTGATTGAAAAGTGGGTTCACTTGCTTCAAAAACCAACAGAATTGATTTCAAAGCCAAGAAAATCACTGATAACCTTCCCAGGTACATATTTTACAGGGCAATAATGAAATTTAATTTTAATTCCCTGACGTTTAAAGATTTATAAAAATGCGTGATTTTTTCTACAAAAATGTTTACTTTTCTCAGATTTTTTTCCTTTTCACATTGTTTAAGTTTTGGTTACCCTAAAGTATATAAAAAATTCGTGGATATGCAAAAATTCCATGATATTCAAAAAAATTCCCTGATATTTCTTACTTTTCCAGGGTATTTTTAATTTTCCTGATATTCTCAGGTTTTCGAGGTTTTCCAGGTAATGTAGACACACTGCTTCTAAATTTCGTCCAAAAATTAATAAAAATGCCTCCTGAATCGACTTACCCGTCACTAATTTGAATTAGTGACTCACTTATTTAATAATATTTATTAATATTTGACTTATTATTAGTAAAGTTTACTATTAATTAGTAACATCTTACTAATTGAACAGTAAAAACTGAGTCACTAATTCCAATTAGTAGAAATTCTTACTAATTCAGATTTAGAGAGCGATATTTCTACTTTAGCTTTTATATTGAACATATATATTATATTTCCGACGTTGAATATGATAATACGCACAGTGGAATTTTCAAATTAAAATATCAATATAGGTAAATATTGTTTGAAAAATCAAATTCAGATTCTGTAACAATACTGCTTACCATGCAGTCTGGAATTTTCTTTCTTCATTCATATCAAATGAGTATTCTCCAAAGTCTCCAAAAATTTACAGCCAGAAGATAATAATAATCAATCAAAAAAAGAGATCGACCCGTGAAAAAATCATTGAAAGAAAAATATATTTATTATAAGTGTACAAATGTATTAAAAATAATGAAATATTTTTAAAAAAGTTATTAAATTTTTTTTTAAAGTTGAGTTTTTAAAGAATTTTAATATTGGAAATTTTGAAAATGAATAAATTTTACAAAGAGTTAAAATTATTTATTAATAAATATATAACTCAAATTTTTAAGATATTTTTTTTTATTTTTTTATTTTATTTATTTTACAAAATTTATAAATTTAAGATTTTATTCAAATTCATGTTTTCGTAATAAAAGTTTATTTGTTACGTTTACAAATATATTTAAAAAATTGTTCTAAACATTTTGTGAAATAATTAATTAGTTATTATTCAATTAATAAAAGCAATAAAAGTAAATTCAGTTTTCGTAATAAAAGTTTATTTGTTACGTTTACAAATATATTTAAAAAATTGTTCTATACATTTTGTAAAATAATTAATTACTTATTATTCAATTAATAAAAGCAATAAAAGTAAATTCTGTAACTCAGAGTCGAATAAAATTTAAAAATTCAAAAAATATCTTTCATTTTAAAAAATTTTCAAATTACAATAAAATAATTCTAATAAAATGGTAATTTAATAAAATAGTAAAGTAAATTTTATAGAGTAAAAGAGAGAAATCATGTTGAAATCGTGGCACCGCCTAGACAGTAATGACATGGTGAATTTGATGCTCTTAAAGATGATGCTCATTTTCACTATTGATGCACAAATAATTTTCTGATAATTCTAAATTCCGTTTTTCACAGTGAATAAAAACTTTCCTTACATCATGTACACTGCAAACAAAATTCAGAAAAACTTATTTCTTTATTTTTAAATTAACTTTGATTTATTTTTTTTTTCTTAATTATTTATTTTTTTAATTTATATTTAAAATCAATTTATTAAACATTTCCTATTTCAAGGGTTGCCACGCTTTTGCTATTTTAAAATTCCATGAATTTCCCAGGTTTTCCAAGTCAAAAAATTGAATTTCTTGAGGTTATTTTTAAAAATTTATTCTCTCAAACAAGAAAGTCATAAAAGTCAAATGCAGGATGCATCTTTGGTTTTTTTAATTAACTAATTTAGAGAAATACATAACACATGGACAGCAAAATTTTATTTTCAAAACACTATAATTTATTATAGAAAAATAGATATGAATATTAAACATGTTTTTTGTCCAAACATATAAAATAAAAATTTTTAAGTGTATATACCCTTGAAAAAAAATATAAACGACACGAGTTGTCTAAAATTATCAATAACAAATTAAAACAAGTTGAAGTATGTAATTTTTGTGTTCATTCCATGAACACTTTGCTTCCTCATGGAGATATTTTGCGATCAGTTTATGATAATTTATTTATTTATATTTATATAATAATAAGTAAAAAATTAAACTAAAAATTAAAATAAAAAATATATATTTGTGCATATGTGTGTGTATAACTTTATATTTATAAATGATTGGTATTTAGCCATAAAAATTTTTGAACAAAAAATTCAAACAGGTTTTTATCAATATTATTGATTTTTAAAATGTTAATAACTTTGGATAAAGTAATCATAAAATGTTCGTTAATAGGTCAAAAGATGCGTCTTGAAAATCTCTACAAAATGAAACTAAAAAAATTGTAGGTGTCATAACATTTTTTTAAAGTTATGAGCAAAAATGATTTTTTATGATTTTTAAAATGTCAATAACTTTGGATAAAATAATCGTAAAATATTCGTTAATAGGTCAAAAGATGCGTCTTAAAAAACTCTACAAAATTAAGTAAAAACATCCGAACTTTCAAAACATGTGTTTCAAGTTATGAGCAAAAAACGATTTTTCAAAAATTTTAAAAGTCAAAAAAAATATAGTTAATATGTATTAATTTGTCCCAAAGTTTTCTCATTTTATGTCCACAGGTGAGATCTATAATTTAAAAAAAATTCAGCCCTAAAGCTCTTATAGAATTTGAGATATTTATGAAAATGTAATGTATATATATATATATATATATATATATATACACACACACAATCATACGGATTGACATTTTCTAAAAATGTAATTTTTGGATTCCTGAGGTCAAAAAACATAAAGATATGTCAAAAAAATGAGTTCGAAAAATTTCGCGAAAACAATACTTCCTCCATGAGGAAGCAATTCGAATAAATATAAAATGAGATAAAATCAAATCAGTAGAAAATAATAAGAATTTGAATTAAGTGAAAAAAAAGAAATAAAAACAACGATTGAATCGTTTTGTGCAGAAACCGTACAAGTCCATAAATCAAAATTGTTCAGGAATCAATAAAAACTGTTTTTCTTATAAATAAATGTATATTTATCAATTTTGCTTTTTGCATTATATTTTCCTAACCTACAAGTTTAAAATTATGAACGATTTGTTTTATAATTAATATAAGATAAGAAAAAATTAAATAAACTTTTGGACTTGTGCTGTTTCTGCACAAAACGATATGAAGAACACAACAAATGGAACAAAATAAATGTATTATTCCAATTTTATTAAATATTTAGTAAAAATATATTAAAATATTAAATTTTATTAATTTTTATTAACATTTTATTCATATAATATTACTTTTTTTAATCAAAAATTCAAAGTACCAAAAAAAATTAAAATTTTTAACATTCTTATTTATTATTAACTTGAAATATTAAAAATTGAAAAGTTAAGTTTTCTTTTTCGAATATTGTTGTTGTCAATTAAAATTCTTTGGTAAAACAGTAAATATTCTATCAATCTATTGTCTTCAATGGTTTTGAGGTTATGTTTATATACACGGAACAAAAATTTGAGTAATTTATTTTAAGGTTTTAGAGTTTATTAATATCTGTAATATTTTTTTTTGCGGCTTCATTTAAAGATAATTTTTCAATAAAAAAGTGATTTTCGAAAAAAATGGACTTGTGCGGTTTCTGCACAAAACGATTCAATTGAAAAAAGTACCAAATTAATTAATAAATAAAAACGTAAAACTGTAAAACAAATATTAAAATTGAAAAATATTACCTTTTTAGTTGAAGTTTATAAATAAAACGGCTTCATAATCCGAAAAAATACTTCCCAATATTTTTTTTTATTTATTATCTGAAAAAGATTAGTTTAAATCTTAAAATTAAAATCACGATTTAAATCAAATTTTCATTTACATTTTACATTACAATTTTTAAAATACTCTTGATTTAAATTAAAATAATCTGATTTAATTTAAAAAATCAGATCGTTTTGATCTTTTTAAAAATATTGTTTTTTAATTCCTGAGGGTTAGAATGCCCGTTTGACAGCTGTTACAGTCTGTTACGCCAATACGCCTACGTCATGAAGTACACATTTCTGTAGAAACGTCGCGACTTTTAAAAATGTGTAAAAACCGGAAGGACAGCATTAATGCACTTGGGTGTA